ATCTAGTTTACCTTCTTTCCTAAACTCAGCATCTTTTGCAGTAATTGCAACCACAACCTCATCTAGTTTAAGGTTTTGCCTACCATATTTTAGGGTATCAGCAAAGTTAGAGTACATTTTGGGTAAAGAGTTTATGAGGATAACAGCTTGGTCCTCATCTTCTACTTTAACACTCAGTCCTTCTAAGTCTTGCACTAATTTCATAAAGTTATTCATATTATCACCTAATGACTTTCCCTCATCCATCTTAAAACCAAAAAAATTTCATTTTAAAACTAATCTATTAGGGGAAGACTTAGATAGGTATAAAGAGTCTAGTTTTTTCCCAAACCGCTACTGGTGTGGTCATTTTCTTTACCTCTCTCAAAACTTTGTCTCCTAATCCTAGAATTAAGGTACTGTAAGCCTTATCTAAAAGGTCTTTCTTCTCCTTTTCAGTTAAAGACTCTGGTAAGCTATCCTCACCCTCTAAGGTAGCTGATAACCCATCCTTAACTAAAACAGCCCTCATTTTCATCTTCCACAACCCATAATCATTGTCACCTGTGAACTTCTCTATTTCAAACTTAGACATATCTAGGTTTACTACTTCCTCAGTTACCAGGAGATGTGAAAACCCCTAAAAATTCAAGATCTAGAATAAATCCTAAACAAGAACAGTAATGAAAAATTAGATCTAACCCTAGACAAACCCAAAATTCGAACAATCTCTAATTCCAGACCTAACGAAGCTCTAATACTACTGGTTGATCAAACAAATTGTTCAATAAGGAAATCTGAGTTCTAAAGTAACCAACACATTCACAGCAAGATAGAGATATAAAGAAAAATAAGAGCATAAATAATAAAGAGCATACACACAGATTTATAGTGCTTTAGTAATCAGATTGATTACCTACATCCACTCTTCAGAGCAGTAGGAAAAATACACTATGAAGAGAAATCTTACAGAGTTTGTGAGTCAGATTTACACCAAGAAACCCAGTATCAACTCCCCTCTGTAAACCACCCTAGATTGTTCCCATGTGTCTCACACCTCTCACACACATAAAAACATAGAATAAATCAGAATTTATGCAAGAGGAAAAAGGAATAAAAATCAGTTACAAAGAGAATCATCACCATCATTGATCTCATCTTATGAATACCAAGGCTCCACCTTGACGTTTTCCCTCAACAACTTTCTCTCTTTGTAACAAGAAGAGCACAATCCAGAGAGTGAATGAAAGTGGCGTGAAAGGCACAACAAATATCCCAAAGAAAGAAATTACAAAGCTATCCCTTTCTTTCTTCTAAATTGCCTCTAACCAAAGTTTAAAAACTTTGACTCCACATAAGCTTAAATCAATGCCACATCAACACATATACCTCGTGGGAGAGCTTCATGGTAAACCAGTTCTTCCTATAGGGTTGTTGCCACCCACAGCTCACGATAGCAGAGATGCTAATGAAGATAGCACCTGGCTTACAATTAGCGAGTGGTTAGGGAAACGGAAGAGAAAGATGGTTATTTATGTTGCCTTTGGAAGCGAGTTGAATTTGAGTCAAAATGAGTTGACTGAGTTGGCTTTGGGGCTCGAGTTATCCGAATTACCTTTCTTTTGGGCGCTGAGAAATCGGGATGAAACGATAGTGATAATCTGTGGATTATACAGTTTTCATTAGACCTTTTTGTCGGTTTCAGGTACTTTCTAGTGCATTTTGACCTAAATTGTTGCTTAATTCTTTATTTTTCGTGTTTCAGGTTAAAATGGACATTTTGAACAAATAAGGACAAAATTGGATATTTTTGACTCAGAAGTTAGCGGATCTCAGAAGTTAGGAGAGTTATGAAACAGGATAAAGCACGATGAAGTTTTTTCCCAAGGGAGAGCTCCGAGAATCGAAGAATCGAAGAATCAAATGAAGAAGCAAGCATAGTGGCAGTTCTGTAATTTCAGAACTTTTCAAGAAGCTTCGCCCCGGCGGAGGAATTGTCTTCGCCGTGGCGAAGAAGGCCAGCAACGAGCATGTCTGCTTCTCTCTTAGCCGCGGTGACAGTCATTATTTCCAGTTTTGTTAAACGCACAGTTTTGCTTTGTGCGTGTTTTGGCTGGGCAATTTGGACGAGGTATAAAAGAAAAACTTAGCCTTTTGCCCAGGGGTCTTCGTCTTTGTAGGGTTTGCNATAAGACTTCAATATACAATATATGCCAAACTTCACATCTAAAGTAAGAATCCTTACCTTAGGATGCCTTAGATTAATGTTCTACCAAGATCCAACTAAAAACCCTCAAAGATCCTTGAAAGATGGAAGGAAGAATTGAGAGGAAATGGTGAAAGAGTATGGCGGTGGAAGAAGAATGAATGAAGGGTTTATGAAGCTTACCTCCATTTTAGCTCAAACTTTCTTCATTCATTCCCATATTGCCCTTGCTCTTCCTTAGAAATTCCATCCTTGTCCTTTAAATCATTACAATCACACCCCCAATCTAACATATTCTCCATAAAATTCTCTTATATTTTACTCCCCACTTTTCCTGCTAATTAAGGATAGAAAGGTCATTTGACCCCTATGGAGAATTCTCTAGAAACCTTAAGAAACTTTTCTGTCGTCCCGTTGCCGCGGCGAAGAAAGTTCCGTCTCCCCGGCGAAAAATTACAGAGCCAACACCGCAATTACAAAGCCAACATTGCCGCGACGAAGACTCTTCTTCGCCCCGGCGAAGACCGAAATTCACACTTCGCCAAAACTCAACCAAAATCAGGGCAAACACTCAACCAAACCAACTAAGGGCCAACCAACTAAAAATAACAACATACAAGCTCAAATGAGAACAAAGCAATAAACATTCAACATCATTTACTACGTACCTCAAGTGGGGCGTTACAGTTTCTGGACTAATGACCTATATTATAAATTGGATAGAGCAACAACTCAATCCCACTGTGGCCACAGTTTTAGGGTCATTGCCATATATTGAATTGCGCCATGAGATAACTTCTCCTATACCCGGAAGTGATGAATCCTCTGTCAATCCACCATAGTCTTGATACACTCCTCGATGCAGCCAATCACCACGGTATTGACAGTTCTAAATAGAACTACGTTTGGCTAGTGTCAAACTACACCAATCGGTGCACAAGGCGCTCCGGTGATCTCAAGTCTAAGGTTACATGTACCACCATTCGTTATAGGATTTGTTCCATAGACACTGGGGTTACCATCCATATGGAATCCTCTGGTGGGTCAGTCTAGTGAACTTGCTGCAGTGTATTTGTCTACAGCAAGCACCCATGTGTTGCACCAGGTTGTCACCAAACAACCTTGACAAGTGAGATAAGTCACTGCCTTTCGACAGGGTTGTTCAACACTATGATAGCCTTACCGTATTATCTGTGCCCTTACTTCAGAATAATACTGGGGATATGGACGTTTCTAGAATGGCCACCATATGTGCTCATAGAGTTCTCACTATCAAGATTTGAAACACTTGATACCCTCGTCACGGCTCCACCATTCTAAGGACATATATCAATACATATTGCAATAATAATGATTCACGCGATATAGAATAAAATGTCTTTTATTGATTAATGAATATTATTACAAAAAGTCAATTCTACAATAATTGATTGGCTCTAGGACATCTACTCTAACAATAGGAACAAATTGGTTTGCTAGGAACGTGTTGAGAATGATCGAATTAGAACCCTAAGGAAACTAAGTCCTTAAAACCCTAATCTTGAGGCGCCACAAAGGTTGATCACTCCCTTTGATAAGTCGAGATTCAAGCATTCAATCAAAAACACAAGAAGGCAAAGCAAATAGCTTTCTGAAAAAAACTTGAATTGATAATAATCTGTCCCCAAAAAAGTAACATGGCTGCCCCTTTTTATAAGCAAAAAACCCTAAAAAAAACCCTAGCTAATTGAAAAATGGGTTGGGCCTAAGTACAAGCGAATTGGGCTTAAATAAACCTTAAATAAATAAAAGACTAAAGAATCTAATGATAATTAAAACATAAAAAAAAGCCCAAGATTAAATAAACGAAAATTAATTCCTAAATTAATCCTTGCATCCAACTTGATCTTTCGAATCTACCCCTTGCATAAAAAGATAATAGGCCATCCTTGGTGAAACTTTGAAATCTTCGAATTTAGTCTTAGAGTCTTCTAGTACAACCTCTTTGTATTGCACTTCCATGATCAAGCCTTGCAAAGCCTCTTTCATCCTCTTTGTCTTTGCCCTGGTCATTAGACCGCCAATTCCTTGCAAAGGATCTTGAGAATATTTGAGAACATCAATTTGGTCAGCACCTCGATCTCCATTAGAAACCTTACAGAGTTTGAGAGTCAGTTTTACATCAAGAACCCAGTGACAACTCCCCTCTGTAAACCACCCTAGATTGCTCCCATGTGTCTCACACCTCTCACATATCAAATACATAGAATTAATCAGTAATTTATACAAGAAAAAAAGGAATAAAATCAATTACAAAGAAATCTCAACACCATCGTTGATCTCATCCTGCAAATACCAAAGCTCCATCTTGATGATTCCCTCAACAACTTTCTCTTTTTGTAACCAAGAGAGAACAATCCAGGGAGCAAAGTAAAAGAGTCGAGATAAGGCACTACAAATATCCCAAAAGGAAAATTACAGAACTATCCCTTTCTTCTAAATTGCCTCTGGCCAAAGTTTAAAAACTTTGACTCCACATAAGCATAAATCAATGCCAAATCAGCACAGTCAAGAACCTTATGAGATATGGGAGTTCTACAAAGAACTGTCAAAAGGATGATGAGGATCTCTACTTTTTTACTGCCTTGAAGAAAAAGTCTAGAAAGAGTAAACGAATTTGCAGGAGAGTTGGTTCAGGTTCTTGGCAGGGTGAAGATTCTGCTGAAGAAATTCAATCTGATAATACGGTAATCAGGTCCAAAAAATGATATAGATACCAAAAGAAGGGGTTTGAACATGATGGAGAGTGGATAATGCATGAGTAATTNAAGCTTAGGACACATTCAATAAACTAAAGCTTGTAATTGTAAGCTTAAACGGATAACCTAGATTCTTCAGTAGCAATCCAATTCCAATATCTGCGATCTTCAATTCCCGTTATGGCCATCGCTTTTGCCGATATTGACATGCAAACTCTTCCCGTAACTCTATCTATCCACACTTCCTGCAAAAATAGAACCAAATTAAATTCACAAAACCCTAATCTTCACCCATTAAAAGAAAACCAAAAAGAACAACATTTTCACAAAACCGCTCATCACAGTGCCAGAACTAACAAACCCAGAAACTCAAAACCCCAAATTTTCCCTGAAACTGTTCCAAAAGAAAAATTCCTAACCTTATTTCCATCCTCAAAGGGAACGGGACGAGAGAGGAGGGCAAAAATGTCTTTTTTAGACAAATTTTGATAGCGTTCAGGAGGCATAAAACAGAGCAGATCTTGATAATTAGGCGGAAGCTTCTTTTCCCAAACAGAGTCGGAAGACGCCGCACCTCGAAAAGCGCGGTTTAATCTGGCGAGATTACAAATCTCTGGTGGAGTCAAGTACAAAAACACGCACGCCACGCAGCTCTCCGGTATGTCCCCCAGTCCCGGACCCATGGTCGCACCGTTATCAGTAAGGTTCGATAGCGACGCGCCCATGATGTCTCTGTTTGTTGTTGTTATTGGAGCTTTAAGTTGGGGTTGTTATGGTTGTCTTTGTGTGTTGTGTGTCGTGTCGTTGGTTTTGTCAAGTCATGATTGTGCTGCTGAAGCGAGACTGAAGTAAGAGGAAGAGAGAGGGTGTTTGGTTAGGGAGAAAGCAAGAGTGCTTCCTCGGACTCGTGTCTCATTTTTTTTCTTTGTTTCTTTTTTCCGGGAAAGTTTTAGAGAAAATGAGGGGTTATGTGGGGTCCAATAGTTGTCTATTGGAAATTAAAAGTCAAGTCCTAGATTTATAATAATAATAATTATTATTATCTCAAGTTCAAAATTTCACAATGAAAATGAAATAATTTTTTATTTAATATGTATTTTGGAAAATATTTTTGATATCTAAAATAAAAATTGAAAGAAAGAGGGAAAAATATTTATAGAATTTAATATATATTCATTTCCGCTATAAATTTTGTTTAATTTAGCATATTTTCAGTTATTTAAATATATTTATGAAGGATGGAATCTTTTGATTTAGAATTTTAATTTTCTTATAAATAATTAAATAGAGTTTCATTAATTAGCAGATATTGTATATGTTATATTTGATAGATTAATAAATAATATCTAGCTAAAATTTATATTTTTAAGTAAATTTTCTTATATATTGTGATTATACTAATTTATAATTTTTTTAGTTTATGGTTTTATATTTAAGAGAAAAAGGCAGTTTAACCTTAGTTGATAATATGAAGTTAAACAGAGTTAGCTTGAAGGGATGTTAGTGATGAATTTTTATAAAACCTAGGACTAGGAATATTGTTTGATTAAATATACCAAAACTAAGAGCTAGTTTAGAATTTCTGTAGCTTTACATTTAATTACTTTTTACTTAACTTTAAAAATAATCAGTTTTGAAAATGTGTTTTCTAAAAACATTATTTTGGAATTATTTTGACTTTCAAAGTTACGTTTGGCGAAAGAGATTTGTAAAGTGTTGTGGGCCTTGTGGTATGTATAATTACCACAGAGGACTTAATTTTAATCTTTTTAATATGAAGATTAAATTTATCCCAAAATTATATTAACAAATATTTAAAAGCATATAACTCATAAAATAAATTAACAATTTCTCCTAAAGGAAAATAAAAGAAAAAACAGCCTGCCTGCAACGTCGACAAACCTCCGCAGGCGGTGGTTGTTGGGAACCACCTCCGGTTTAGCCGCAGAACTTAGAAATAAATTGGTGGAATTCTGCGGCTGAACGTCAAGTTTTTTTTTTTTGGCGATTCCATTCCAACTTTACCTAATAGAGCGGATCATGCCGAGTCCGGAGACACCAATGGTGTTTCCGTACGCGCTACCGAAAAAGTCGCCGAAAGTTGCAGATGGCGGCGACAGTTTTCAATGACTGCAGGCTGTCTAATGGTTTTTCTTTTTGAAAAATATTTAATTAAATTTATTATTTTAATCAGCTAATTTTTAATATAAAATGTTATGTTGTAAACTTGTAATTTAAAGTAATACTGTAATACAGTATTTCTCATTTAAATATATAAAATCACCTTTGAATATAAAAAGTTATTTTAGGCTGTTTTTATAATCCTTTTATAAATTTAAATATTTTATCATCGGTTTCGAATTTAATTAATTTTAAAACTGTTTACTAAATATTTGTATTATTATAATTTAAAACTTAATTAATTATTTTTTAAATCCTTCTTGCATTACAGACGTCATGGGGTTGCATAGAACGAAAGAATTAATCTCTAATACACGGTAAAATATATTGATTTAGAGTAAACGACATTTTCCTACCCAAGGTTTGGTGAATCTGCCAGTTCCCACCCTGGTTTCATAAATTGCATACTCTCACTCTTAAATTTGCATACTCTCACTCTTAAATTAACAGATAACTGTTTAATCTAACAGTTAAAAAGGGTAAGATGGTCATTTCAAAGATAAAATTTTCAAAATAACCCTTCACTTTTCTAATTCACCCCACCGACGATTTCAGGCAATTCCGACCTGTTTTCGACACAATCGACCCCTCTTGACACCACCATTACAATCCCCTTAACCCCCATATCAAAACCCCTAACCTCCCCGCTTGATTAAATATAATATACTCTTTAGCTAGTAATTCTTTAAGAAATATATGATAAAATCCACTAAATAACTTTATAAACATATACAAGTAAAACTTCTCTATAGTCATAATGATGGGATTAATTGATTTTATTACTATAAGGAGGTTATAATTTAATAGAGGTGTAATTACAAAAATTTCTTATTTTATAATTCATGTTTTAGTAGTACAACATTAGAATTTCAATTCATGTTTTAATAATATAGGATTTCAATTCAGTGTTTCAATTACCTACTTTTTAAACAAATAGAAGATTGTGTCTTGGAACCAGCAAAGATAAATATGCTTGATGGAATTGTAAATACAGTTGTTGCATGGTTAAATTGATGTGAAGTCACAGATAATTGTCATTTGTTTTAAGCATGACAAAATTAGGATCCCTGATGTCAATGAATTGCAAGTTATAAATAAAGTGAATGAGAAGAATCAAAGAGTTATTGTAGATTGAGTGATTAAATTTGACAACTTCGTTATACTAATCGAATGGATATTAACGTCCTCCTTAATTATTCAAATGAGCAACAAGTCATGTATGTTTTAGTTGAAGAATAAATCATTACTACAATTACACAAAAAGATAAAGGAAATGATCATGAGGATGATATTACGTAAATACAAAAAAAATTGTGGTAATAAGCTCCAAACATGCTTGAGAAGTTATAAATATTTTGACTTCAATAAGAAAATGTCCATGCTAGTGAGTAATATACCCGCAAGTTAAAAGATGTGGTAACAACTCTAAAGCATAAATCATTCTCCCAAACAACTTTAGAGAAATATTTTATTTCATCTTAAACTTTTAATGTAATAAATAATATATTTTTTTGCAATATACACATAATTATTACTATGTGGAGGCAACTTTCCTTAAGACGAGAATCATAAAAATTATAACTTATTACAATGTAGAGTTTATTCTTATTTATAACTATTCCAAATTGGGAATAGAATTTTTTATGATTATGTAGAGTTTATTCTTATATAGAGTATCACTATAAAGAGGTTTTACTATATATATATAGAGATATATAATGTAAAATCCAAAAATTTTAATTTTAATTCATATAAACATATATACAAAATAACTGATAGTACAAGGTAGTCTTGGACAGTACCGCCAAACTACTCCACTTCTTGACTTCCCATCCGATCGTAAATCATCAAGTACCTACAAAACAGTAGAATAATAGAATGAGCACTAATTGCTCAAGAAGTAAACCAAACTGCACTACTGTTTTTTCTCCATTACTCATGTTCAGATTTCCTTTTCTCACTTTAATCTTTGATAATATTCTTCATTCTTTTCTGATATTCTGCATTCTTTTCTGATACTCTGATTTGCTACTTATCAACATGCAAAGACAATGAATAAAACTGTACATCGTCAAGCACATAAGAAATACTGAATCATATAAGTAGCATAATACATATGCAGAATAATAAACTTTCTTGAGAAAAGAACTTTCTTTTCTTTTCTATTATCTGTCTCTTATGTTGTATCTCTTTCTTTTCTTCTCTGTTTCTCTTTCTTTTCTTTCTTCTATTCTAGTTTGCCGATCGAACTAGGTTGATGCATGGATTTGGAACCCTAGCCGTGTGAGTGTATACTGGGTACAGTCCTCATCTACATGCACTGTTGACAGACCGTACCAATGTTGTATCTCTCAGCTGAGGCCGCTCACTGATGGCGGCGTGCATGTAGGTATACTCTGCTGGATACAGTCCTCATCCACATACACTATTGACGGACTACACAAATACTGTATCTCTCTGCTGATGCCACTCACTGATGGCGGTGTGCATGTGGGCATCTCTGACACTCAAGTGTTCCCCATCACAATAACCTTATAACATAATATGCTGTAAAAAGAGAATAGAAAGAGATACTATACACATTTCTAAATAAATTTCCAAGCTATGGAAATTTCATACTTGCATTCTTTAGTAAATGAGAAAATATACATACTTGCATGTTAGCTTAAAAAGAAATCTACAAGCCATTTTCTTTTCTTTTTTTTTTTCTCATTCTTTGCTAACATATTCTTTCATATTCTCATTTACTAAATCAAGGCTATATATAAATCATGTGTACAATATATGCATGTTCAAGCCCATTCTTTAATATGCTTTCCAAGTTCACATATACAAACTTGAAAATTCATTATGGCATAATGGTGTGTTATGACATATTCTACCATTCTCTACTATCACAATTTCCATATCAAAGTATCACTTTAACTTGCAATTCCTTTCTAATACTTTCATGTGCTATTCAAAAAGTAGGAAATGTTCAAGTAACTAGAATCAAACACTAAGGGTCATTTCTCTCATAGAACTAACATGACCAAGTGATATTCTAAATTTTGGCATAACAATATGCACCCTTGAATACTAACATTTACACTTGGTTAAGCCCAACATAATCTTTCTACTTCAATTCTTGTCTTTTTCTAATCCTTTCTTCAATAGGATTTAGCCAACTCATACATGTATTTTCTCTTTGGATTTTCATCAAACACTTCATATGCACATGCAACTACCATGTTGGCCACATCTCTCTAATTTCACCAAAATGTGAGTCAAAAACTCACTAACTTTAATGTCAAACTTGGCCGATTTCAACAATTCTCTACACTTCAAAATTTCATCACTAATTCTTCCATAATTCCACCAATTCATCACATACTCATACAGTACTTCTCATGGCTCAAAATTATGAATCATTAAACATAAAAAACAGCCAATAATTCTCTCATACCATCATATACAAACATGTAAAAATTCACTCAACACAAGTCTTGCTCAAATCAAGGCTAAAATTAGGTTTACTTACCTTGAATGTGTGATATAACTTCCTTTTGCTAAAAGTCTCTTCCTTTTGGACCTAAATCGTATAAAAACCATAAGAATTTAAAACTTTAAAGTTTAATCACACTCCTTGTGCTAGAATCTTACCTTTGGATGCTTTAGGGTTGAAAATCTATAAAAATCCAAGCCAAATTATATGATTTCCCTTTAAAATTTAGTGAAGAAAATTGAGAGAAAATGGGATAAAGGTGGCGTGAACAAGGGCTGCATATATATGGCTAGGGTTTC